CATTTCCACTGCAAACAGTACCCTTAAATGTGGGCGGGGTTGTTGTCACTCACTGCTCCGTCCAGCACTCACTGTATTTCCTCATTATCGGTGATACAGAGGGAAGTCTGTAGCTAATTTATCGTTCCGAAATTTTAGCGTTAGGAACTGAACTATACCGTACTGCTCGGTGGAAACAGGGCTCTTTTCATTCCTATGAAAAATTTCTGGGGACACCACTGTGCAAGATGAACAACAAAATCACCACCAAACCACAGCAACATATACTGAATCAATCTTTATTTATATTAAATTAAAAATATACTTTTGACAGATTCATGTAACAAACATGAGGAACGGTATTTCTATGATATAAAGCTTTGGGTATGGTTTCAAATAACTCAGACAGACAGTCAGCAGTGACCGTCTTGGATAAAGGGACATGGGGAAGTATGGAAAGAACGCCTTCTCTCTACTATGTCTCCTCTAAAAGCATGCAAAAACAAATCAGAAAATGAACTGAAAACAGGATGTACTGTGAAGGCTGTGCTCTGCCTTTCAGGGGAGAGGAGGAGGAGGAGGAGGTCAGACTTGGCTCAGTAATATTTCCAGTAGAAAGTAAGCAGAGAGGGTAACACAGTTTATCTAGGTTGGTTGGCAGCACTGGTTTCAGTTTTATGAGTATTAGAAAGATAAAGAGGAGAAGTTTGCTTGTTCTGGGGTGTTCTCATTACTGAGGGACAAATGAAATGTGGCAAGCATAGGGGAAGCTGAACAGAGATACCAGGTGGATTCAACACCCCCCTCCGCCCACCACCACCATCACCACCACCACTTTTACAGTGTTCACCTAAACTGAAACAATACATGAGGACAGCCACGGAGCTCTGGAGAAAAAGGGCGTCACAAGAGTTCCACATGGAAAAAGGGTCAACAAGCACTTTTAAAATCAAATCCCCATTAGTCCAAAAGGTACACTTACATAAAGCAAATATGTACGGCTCTTTTTGTACAAGTTGTTATAAGCAGGAGAAAACAGCAGTAGGAGAGAAGACCATATAAATTCAAAGCATCGCCTCCTTATTTACAAATTCACCACGTTGGCCATTTCAGTGCTTTATAAAAATACTATTCACATTTGTTGCTGAAGTGTGTTAGATAAGTTTTGGAGGAAACCCCAAAGATTCTGTACATTTATCTGATAATTTAAACACAGGAAATGAAAGCGATGATTTGTGCAATTAAGATGTTGACAACTAAAAACTGCGGCTAGAATGACAAACGTGTTTCATAATGTGCGGTAAACAACACAATAGTGGAAAAAAGATTCAAGTCTTTTTTTCTTGAAGAAAAACTTGATAATATGGAAAATAACTCAACATTAAAAGGGTACTATACACAAAAAAGAAATTCCCAGTTTGTGCTACTGAATTCAGTAAAAAAAAATATTTTCTCCCACTCTGAAATTTGAATATAATACTGTCATCAATGAAGAGATACAAAGGTGGAGGGCAGTAAAACACTCACTTTGGGTACCATGCAAGGTGATATTGTACTATACACTAGAGACTCTAACGCAGCCTATATGGTAGGTAACTGCTCAGGATGAAATATCGAAGGATTCACTTCTGGCTACATGCCTCTGCACCTTGGCTCAGAGGAAACGGTAAAAAGTGGAAATAAAAAAAGTGATCAATCTTAAACACCAGTTGCCATGGTGTGTTCTTGAAATGCCATGAGCCACAAGACTGTTTAGGGCTGAGACAAATAGCAGCAGGTAACACAGTCCGACGCCAAGGCGAAACATGTTTGAAACAAGAAATGAGATATTAGTCGGCAGAGAGGGAAAAAGTAGTTGCGGTACTAAAGAAAAAAAAAAAACAAGGCCTTTGGATGACAAAAACAAAACTTGACAAACTTCAGGTATGTTTTTCTTCCTTTTCTGGCAATGAACTCTTGAATAGATTCAATTAAAAGCGCACGGTTGCAAAGTGTCTCGGATACTCTGAAGTGCTCTCGAGAACATTTGAGGCTCAGTCGTTTCATCAGTTTTTTTAATCTAATCTTGATTCAAACACGCATTTTGCCTGGGTCTGCAGTATAATTTAGGCCAAACAAGAGAGACCAAGGCGTGTGTTTTTCTTCTTACCACCATGGTGCTTTTCTTTTTTTCCTCCTCCTTCTTGAAACCCAGATTTGGCAGACGCTTCCATCGCTCAGTATAAACAAGCTGAAACGCGCCATAAATATTTCACATTGATATTAAATGCTGTCTCTATTTCATTGAATTAGAGCTCCAAAAGGGACTACAAAATACTCCTTCATCAAATAATCATGATATCATCAAAGCAGCGTTATAAATACTGTTTGAAGCAAACAAAAAAAACATCAACTCGGAAACAAGGACATTCTTGAGGCTGGTCAGTACCACCTCAAATGTGTTTTCTTGGTGAACTCCCGGCCGCAGCACCTTCCTCTGACTTTTGCTGAAGCTTTTTGCTTTCTGAAGTGGTAAACGGCCGGATAAACAAGTTGAATATTTCAGTAACGAAGGGTGGAAATCTTTTCTTTCTACCCACGAGTTTGATCAAAGTGCTCCAAAGGGAGGACAAACATATACAGCTTACTCGGACGAACACGTTCACACACAGAGGCATTAAAATGCACTAAATAAAAATCCTAAACAAGAAAACAGCACACAGCTGAATGACAAATTACAATTACATTAATATTAATATTCAATGTGTAACAGCTGGAAAAACTTGCTATAGGTTCAGGAACTATATGATTCTGTCCATATTGATTGAACCAAGATGTGATTCTCGGAAGAGGCAAACCACCATTACAAAATTTTCCTCTTGATCTTTGAAGGTTGGCAAGCTTTGTGGTATTTTCCCACCCACGGGTCTCCTGTATGGCTTGTCGGAAGAAATAATGGCTGTAACACCAGCGCTTTTAGCAGCATTGACTGGCAGTTTGCCTGCAGAGGCGTCAGTAGTGAGGGTTACAATGATTCTCTTGAGAGCTTGGGGATCTCAAGAGTAAAACTCAGCTGGGATGCTTTTCATGATGTCACTCTGGGACTTTGCACACCAAGTCCGTATTTTTTTTGCCTGAAATTGTTGCACATTTAAAAGTAAATACAACCTCACTTAATGTCAGTCACAGATTTCTTTCATTCCCCAATTTAAAGTTTCAACCTACCAACCTATCGCTGCATAATAACGTGCAAAATGTATTCATGGTTTGCAGAGACGTACAACGCCAATGCTTATTCTGGCAAGTGGGTCAGCATGTCCCTATCTTAGACATACTGCCAGCCCCTTTTGTGTTCAGGATCAATTGGATTGCTGACATTGGTGGTCTGTTTGTCAATGTCCGATTCTAGTATTGTTAGCAGGGTATCAAACTGGATCACCTGTAACAGACTTTGAAACCATTGGGATAATTCCAGTTTTATTGACAGGTAAACTCTCCTTGCTCTAGAGACCTTCTCAGGATTGGAAAAACCCAATTTTTGTCTCCTATCTACGACAAAATCATCTTCACTGCTTGAAACTCCATTGACTTGGTGTGCAAAGGCCTTTAGTGTAAATGGATCCAAGGCATCGTCAAACAGCAGCCAGACTAATAATTCAGTGTTGGGAAAAGTACAAATTAACAACATACAGCTGCACTTGAACAACAACAACAAACCTATAAAGACATTACAGTCTCCTCTAAGTTGTACCTTTGACATATTTACCAATATTAATAAAGTAATTAGCTGAAAGAAAATTCAAGAAACCTTCACCAGCAACTACGAAGATCACATTTAGGCGTAGGTTTAACCCTGTCTCCCAGAAATTAGGTTAATACAGTACTTATTTGATTTCCCAGGTATGTATTTGCTGGATTACTATATGAATTAACATATCTATATCATTTCTAGGAGACAAGGTTAATAGCTTATGGAGTTCTGACTTCTGGGCAATAAGGTCCTTCAAAAATATCAAGCAATTTGGTTG